AAGAACTTTAACAAAAGATGGGGGGGGGGGGTTGATTTGATAATTACCTTTAATAAAGTATCATTGACGATCGGCACTACTTCAAACTTGATTGATGTGTTACTGGCAGCTTCTCTTAAAAGAGGAATATGCTGCACGGTGATGTTTTGTTGTATGTGTATCAATTCATTCTAGAAGATAAAAATAAAAAGATATAATGTCATTAAAGCAATAAAATATTTTTTTCATACAATACTCTTAAAATAGAGGATTATAAATGAAAGGTGGTTATATTTTAATGATTTTACTGAATGATTGTACAATATATTGTGAAAAGAAAAATACAGTACGAATTTATTAGGAATAAATCGATTTTTAATCGACACACATTAATGTTTTTTTAATAACATGTTGTTGATTATAACATATTACTAATATAAATTAAACCGGTATTTGCATTAATTGTTTTTACATACTGATATGTTTCTAAAAAGATTACTCTTTTACTAAGCTGATTGAAACTTCCAGTCATACGAATAACGATTCTCTGAATCGTTACTTCACTTGCCGTGTATTTTCATAGAAAGTACAGTTTACGATTTATTAACATTACCATATGCAGTGAAGTGTCGTTTATCATTGGTAATATTTTTTTGGAACTAATGTTAAAAGTTCTTTCTACGAAGGATCGCATGCTTGCGATGGTGCGTTGCGTAGCCGTTGATCTAAACTGGAATATAAACGTCAGATTGATAAAAGATCTATTCATTAATAGTAGAGGAGACTAGGGACAATTGCAACGGAAGTAACAATGCGTATATCTTTTAAATGATAAGAGATAAGATGATCATATGAAGAACAAAAATAATTGATATCGAAGCTTGCATCTGCCTCATGTCATCAATCGCACATGCGCCGCATGTAAAAGAAGTTATATGTATTGTGCTCGGACAAGCCACGTAAGTTTACGATTTTATACTTCTTTGCTTTAAACTTTCGAATAAAATGCTTTTTATTGTATTTTTATTTTATTAATTCTAAAATACATTTTGTCAAGCTAAATATATGCATGTCTTTTTTTGATATTTTTAAGTGGGTTCGAATATATTCATATAAATTTTGACAACATTGGTTTCGGGTTAAAGTACTGTATCGCTATACTGAGAAAAAATATAATCAATTTTAATAAATAGTTAGTTCAATATTGTCAACTAACATTTACTTATAGTAAATAAATATTTGTTCAGTAAAAAAAAAAATTGTTAAATCAAATTAACATTTCTTGTATCAAATAAATATATCTTTATATTTAATAAATATTTAGTTGGCAGTATTCAACTAAATATTTATTAAAATTGACTATATTTTTTTTCAGTTGTAGGGTACATTGTGACATCATTACAATTAACAATAAAGAAGAGCCGTTCATCTCAAATTTTGACAAAAGTACTCTGAATCGATACGTTTTCGCGTAACATAAAGATTTGACAAGAAAAAAGTATTGCTCTGCTTCGTGAACCGAAATATTCTGAGTTAAAGTTGACGATTATTCAGATAGGAAATCTGTCTCATCGCAGCCAAATACTGTGATGTGAGCACGCACATTTTATACTGTACGATCATGTGCAAATGCGTTGTAAGTATTATATTTCTTATTTTAATAGATATTATTCACTGCTTTACAAACACAAATTCACTGCTTTAAAAATAAATTATCTGTTTTGAAATACAAACTTACTGCTTTTTGATAGCAAATTTACTGTTTTAAAAACAATAATAATATAATTTTTGTTTTATTGTAGAACAGATAATTTATTTTTAAAGTATTAAATTTGTGTTTTTAAAGCAGTGAATTTTTGTTTTAGAACAGATAATTTGTTTTTAGAATATGTTACAACTTTTCCTAGCTTTGTTTCATTTTTCCCCAAATCGGAGCAAGATGTACTAATTCGGACTTTTACTCATAAATAGATTAAAATTACATCTTTTTGTAAATAATACCATAAATCTAAATAGTTGTTGCTTCATGTTGCATTAAAAAAAATAAACATATATGTTACAAATAAAGAAATATGTATATATATATATATATTTCTAAATATTGATACAATTGTCCCTAGTCTCCCCTGTTATAATTAATAATATAAATAATCAAAGCCTTAAACGGTCTAGCTGGATTTTAAATACTTCTATGATTCTGTATGAATTTATATACTATGTATGTAATCCTTTTTGAAACGTGCGCTGAAATGATTTTTCGGTCTTGAAACGCTAATTCTACTAAACTATCGCAGTAATATCACGAGTTAAAATTGATTAGCAATTTAACAATTTTTTCATGCTTTTTTGCATCTTTGAAACGATCTTAATTATGTTGAATGACATATTAAAATCTGTAAATAATTAATTCATATTGCGAAAAATATTACCTCGGCCGGGAGTCGAACCCGAATCTCTTGCATTCCGTGCGAGCCTCGGTAATCTAAAGGCTTAGGACGCTCGCACGGAATGCAAGAGATCTGGATTCCACGCTCGGCTGACGTAATATTTTTTGCAATAAGAATCAATTATTTACAGATTTTAATATGTCATTCAGTATAATTAAGATCGTTTTAAAGATGTGAAAAAACATCAAAAATTGTTAAATTGTTAGTCAATTTTAACTCGTGATATTACTATAGTTTAGTAAAATTAGCGTTTCAAGATCGAAAAATCATTTCGACGCGCGTTTCAAAAAGGACTACATACGAAATAAATTCACACAGAATCATAGAACCATTTAAGATCCAGCTAGACCATTTAAGGCTTTGATTGCTGTAGTTTGTGTTATTACTTATAATAATATATAATACAGTTCTATAACATGTTATATTATAAATAATATTAATAAAATGTGAAATACAAATTACTTATATATTAAATTAAATTTTTTTTTTTTTATATTATTTATTAATTTTATTGATTATATTAGTTAATTTTACATTAACCTATTATATTTTATATCGTATTTTATGATCGTAATATAACAAGAAAAAAAGAAACCAAAAATCAAACTTCTCAAATTATTACCTTGAAATTCTTAGTCACGTTCCAGTCGAACAACATCGGCAATTTGGCTCTGATTCTTTCGGCGAGTGACGCCAAATCTTTTTCACCCTGTATTGCCAAATACTTTCCCTTTCCCGGGACCAGCTCGGGGTAGGGCTTCCAATTCTTTAGATCCATCTTTTCGTATCGAGATGCACCTACGGGAAAATAAATTTTAAAAAGGGGACTATCACCCCTATTTATATTATAATAATCAACGTTTTTATATTTTATTTTCATCTGTGTCAAAATGTAAATCAATCCATTTCCATTAAGATTCCATTGCTCTTTTATCTAATAGCGCATCTTTTTATCTTCCAATTTGATTCGAAGAACACACAACAAACGATTATTAGTCAGAATGTAAAAACCTTGGGATCTTCTCACTCACAAGTTTCGAATACGTTGTTTGTTATTATATAATCTCGAATGTACGTGAGATTCAAAATCTGCGCGATTACAGACTCGCCAGGATATCGCGTCCCATGTCTGATCAGCATCCATATCTGCGTCGGTTCGCAGTCTGAAAATTCCGATTATGTCCGTTTTGATGAAGTTGGAAATCCTTGCAAATATTCGGCAGCGCTTCTCTTGTTGTACAGTGATAAATACTCACTCGTTAGAGTCATAGTTTCTCCGGTATCATTATAAACGTAAGAATACGGGGTTTTAGTGCCGGTGTAAGGATAAAAGCTCCTGTTAACGGAGTGACAGCTCAGAGGATTTCCTAACACTGCGCTTTCCGCCAGGCATATCACGATAATGGAAAAGCAGAGTTTTCCACACATCTTGCAAATCCTAACTATTTAAACGAGAAAAGAGGGAACTGTTGACAGACTTTAATCACATTTTCTGGAAATAATAAAGCGATAGGGCTAGTCTTTCAAGCAAATAAATCTAACGTGAGAAAGTAATGTCTCAATGTAATAACATACAAATTGTTGAAATTAATCAGCTGTCATTTTTAAATACATTTAGTTATTGAAAAAATAAAAATTTCTCTAAAAGGAGAAAAGCCTGCAACTTTTAATAGATATAATTTAATTAATTTTATTATTATTATTATAAATAAAA